CTCCACCTATCTCAATAAAAAGCGTGAGATGTTTTTTGGGGTATGCAGGTTGCTATTGGAGGTTCATAAGAGATTTTTCAAAAAATTCAAATCCATTGTGCAAGCATTTTTAAAAGGAGAGTAATTTTTACTTTGTTGATGCTTGTCTAAAAGAATTTGAGAGTTGAAGAAGAAGTTTGTTTTTGACTTCATCTTTATTCCTCCAAATTGGGGGAAACCATTTGAAGTCACATGAGATACAAATGGGGTGGTGCTTGGCGTGGTATTGGGCAAATGCATGAGAAGATACTTCACCCCATTTATTGTGCAAGCAAAGATTTAAATGCAGCTCAATAGAATGACACGGTTATAGAGCAAGAGCTTCTTGCTGTACTGTTTAAATTCGAGAAATTTTTCACTTATTTTCTTGAGATTAAGGTCATAGTGCACACGAACCATTTAGCGTTAAGGTTCTTGATGGACAAAAAGGATTAAAAACCACGACTTATTATGTGCATATTGTTCTGCAAGAAATTATTTTGTGGTGAATGACTGCAAGGGGATATATAAACAAGTTTCCTATCACTTGCCTAGATTGGAAGATTAAGCTTTACTTGATCTTTGTTATAAGGGTTAGATCAATGATATGTTCCCATATGAAAAGGCATTGGCTGCCTCTCATCAACTCATTTCTTGGTTAACTGACTTTTCTAATTATTTGGCAAGCGATTTGGTGCCTCCAAATCTTTCATCTTACCAAAGGAAGAAGTTTAAGCATGATGTAAAATTTTTTTTGGGATGAGCCGTACCAGTATCATAGTAGTGCTATTGGCATTATTCGTCGATGTGTGCCTGAGTTTGAAATGTTGAGTGTTATTGAGACGTGTAATTCATCACCTGTTGGTGGGCATCATAGTGGTGTTTAGAATGTTCACAAAATTTTGAAATGTGGATACTATAGACCAACCATTTTCCAAGACTCTCATGATTTTGCCAAGTCTTGTGACCGTTGCCATATAGTGGATGGGATTTCAGAGAGGCAAGAGCTTCTTATGAACTCAATCATGCTAATAGAGTTATTTGATGTATTCATCATCTATTTTATGTGGCTGTTTATTAGTTCATATCGGATGAAGTATATTCTTGTTGCGGTTGAGTATGTATCGAAGACGGTGGAAACAATTGTGCTCCCAAACAATGAAGGCAAGAGTGTCACCGCATTCGTGATGAAGAATGTCTTCTCTTGATTTTGAACCCCAATGGTAATTATTAGTGATGGAGGTTCCCACTTTCACAAAAAGTTATTTAAAACATTACTTAAGAAATACGGGGTCGGCTACAATGTAGTTTCTCCTTACCATCCACAGACTAGTGGGCAAGTCGAAGTGTCTGACCGAGAGATAAAGACAACCTTGGCAGAGACAGTGAATACCAACAGATGGATTGGTAGAGGAAGGTTCAATATGCTCTATGGGATCACCTTAATATACTTAAGAGTCTCATATATATATTTCTCTATACTAACTTGTATATGGGAAGTCTTGCCATTTATCACTAGAGCTAGAGCACGAAGCTGTGTGGGCAATGAAGAAGCTTAACTTAGATTGAGGCGCCGGATCAACTCAAAGGGTGAATGACTTAAATTTCCTCGATGAGCTTCTCCTAAAAGCCTATGAATGTGCATCCTTGTATAAAGATAAGATGATGAAGTACCATGATCAAAGATTTAAAAACAGAGATTTTGTACTACTATTCAACTCTAGGTTGCACTTATTTCACGACAAGCTTAAGTCCAAATGGTCCGGACCATTCTTAATCAAGCCAGTGTTTCCTAATGGAGCGGTGAATCTTGATAATAGTGAAGGAATAAGGTTCAAGGTAAAAATAGATGATTAAGCTTTATCTGGAAAAAGCGGAAAGTGTTCAACAAGTGATTGAGGACTATTATATTGATAAAGTCTGAGCAATCAAGAGGCTTGCCTGTGCCGCGACGTTAAATCAAGTGCTGGTTTGGAGGAAAACAAAGGTATAAAATATATCCAACCATAGGTTTACTATTTCTGTCAAGTAGTTTTCCTTTAATTATTTGATTTATTGTAGCGGAGTATTTAGTTGTTAATTTTTGGTTTTTGTGTTGCCTAGATATAACGTAGGGTCCATATCTAAAAAGCTTCTAGAAAAAACAAAGAGAATTCCCTAATGGTTGCTACATGTGTACGGGCATAAGGAAAAACTTCAGGTGCATAGGTCTATGGATCCCATCGATGGTTTGTCCTTTAACCCACGCATCGTGAATGATGTCCGTAGATCCAGGTAAGCTTCCTAATTATTCTAAGTCATAGAGATATCTATAATACTAGTCGACTGACCATAGATCGACACACAGACCGTCAGCAGGGTCTTGTAGGTCCAAACCCTTGATTGAATAACCCGACCCAAACTCCAAATTTTGAAATCACAGTCTTCAAATTCTTTCCCTCCTCCTTCATTTCAATTACCCAAAAGTGTTTCAAAACATCAAAACACCTCAAATCACTCTCCAATCACCCATTAATCCCTCACAATAAAATTCCCAATTCCTTCCTTGCATAAATCATTTAACTCCAAGTGCTCTAAAATACCCATTCTCAAACATTCGATTTTAGGGCTCGGTACAATTAGGTGTATTATCTTCCATCGAAAAAAGTTTGTTATCATCACACAATCACACCACTTCTCAATACATGTACCCTCACTTTGAATTTCGGTTCATCTATTGAAGTTTGAAATTAGGGAGTTGGTTCTTGGCCTTGTTATTATTTTAAAAAAACCATGCTAAAATAAACTTGAAAATACCCTTCAGATGACAGATTGTGATTATGTTCATTTGTAGTAGACGAATATCTGTGTTATATTTGTCTAAATGTAAGTTCAGACATACGTTGTCACACTATGTATGAACTATGTGCCGAGAATATTTTGAACTATAAGAATTACCAAGTAGCAAGGTCAAATGTTGAAATGCATGCTTTGACTAGACCGTGTAAATACAAAAATGGTATTCATGAAGTAGTAATTAGAAGCATGTCTATGTTTTATTAAGGATTTTTTTTTATTTGAGACTGTTTTAGAGTCGTCACTTATTTTTTGAGGAAAAACCAAGAAAATTGATTTTGCAAAATATTAAAAGAGAAAATCATTTGAAAATGTTTAAGGGGGTTCGTGGTTTCCTATTAGAGATTTAGGAAGGGTTTCCAAGGCTTCTAAAACACCCACTAATGTGATTATCTAACAATTAATTTGCTTGGCATAAATATTTTAACTTAATCATAATAAAAAATTATTTGGGAATCCCTTAAAAATGTGAAATATCAACCTACTATCTGAGTGAGTTTTACCTTGTAGAATTAATTATCTTTTTAAATCTATTCAGACTTGATTAATTTAGTTTGAATAGTTAAAACATAAATGCGTCTTGCGAGGGATTGTAAGTTTTAACCCTAAAACTCATGACAATTACTAATAAGCAAATAACCGATAAAGTGTGTGTGTGTGTGTGTGTGTGTGTGTGAGAGAGAGAGAGAGAGAGAGAGAGAGTAGGGTGCAAATTTTGTTCGTGTCCGCCTGGACTGTTATTTAGTCCCATTTTATTTTGGGTCTTAAGCCTATTTGATTTGGTACCTGTCCTAGAATTCTAACAATACAATAGTGACAAAAGAGACAAGGGCTTAGGCCCAAAAATAACAAGATACAGAATTTAGAAAATAAATTTGGGCTTCTTGGCCAAAAATCATCAACTTCTTGGCATGTTTTAAATTTTTCTGAATTCTGGACCTTTATGTACATTTTTGAGGTGTACAAATACCAAAATAAGGAATTGGGCCTCGGTGGCCCTATAGGATAGTGCAAGAAACAAATAATCATGAAGCCCATGGGAGATTTCACATGCAAACAAAGGGTAATAAAGTGAGTAACAAATCGTGATTCAAAGTGAGCAAATGTCTACTAAAGGTAAATATATGACATCATATTCAATTATAAACAGAATAAAGAAACATAGAAGCCTTAAGACAACCAAAGCAATAGTCCAAGATTGAGAAAACACAAATATTCAGGAATATATAAAAATATTGCTTTATCCAAAAATTTCACACTAAGAAAATATGAAAGCCCACTACTGACTTGATGACTTTCAATGAATCATGCACACTAAACAATAGTAGAACAGTTTGTGTAAAAAAGTAAACATTTTGATAATAACTATCAACAAAAATGAAAAAGAGGTCAACATTTTCTAGACATGTTCTTCCCAACATGAATGGATATCACCAAACTCAAAAAAAATAAAATAAAAGAATGATATGACGTTACGAATAGCTAAAAATCGTAGAACAACCTGCATTAACTACAATTCAACTTTATAATTACAAAGTAATATGCATAAACTGTTGTTTCTCCTCAATCGATAATAACTCAAAATACCTAAGAATGATACATAGTGTACTCCAACAGGCTTAAGAAAAGGGGGAAAAATTACATGACATTAATACAAAGTTTTTTATTTTTATAAGAAAAACAATTTGTACTGAACATGTCACTAGAGAAAACAACACAAGTACAACAAGAAAAAATAAGATGCAAACTTCATATTTTCCGCAACTTTGGGTAAGAAAATGAAGACAAGAATATAACTACTAGCTTAAATGCACAAGACAAAGACAATATTCGGATTGCAAGCATAACTACAAGCCTCATGAGATATTCTAATACTAATTTAGAATCGGCCAACGCATAGTAGAAATGATAAAAGAGGTCACTAAAACATGAGTAAACAGTGCAGAAGTCCAAACAACTAAACATCCAAAGTCACAACCAAATGCATCAACTATTTCACTTCCATTTATATTTCATATTTGATAGTCCTAAGAACTCACAGGAGAAACTAAACTTAAAACGAAATAATAATATGGAGAAAATAACTAATCTTAATAAATGGACTCCGCTAAACATCATAGGAAAAGAATACAGAAAGATGAGGTTACCTTTTTCTGCGCAAAAAAATTGACACAGTGACGAAGCAGGGAAACCAGCTCCTCCAAACAAGCACGGACGCGAGCAACAGTAAAGAACCAAGTAAAATCTCTTATCGCGAATGAAACTGAAAAAAAATATGACAAAATGACTTAGAAATTTTAAGCTTCGATCGAGAGTAAATCACTTCTACCTTGAAAGTATTTTTGTGTATTTTAGCCATTTGGCTTAAGATATTTTTTGGTGTGTGTTTGATTCAAGGAATGATCCAAGTAAAAATCTCCAATTCAAAAATTACCAACCATTTTCTAAAAAAAAATTACCCCCTTTAACTGTGAACCAATAACGATTATATATCAAAC